GTAGGTACCTTTGGAGGAGTGTCGGCTGTAGAACCAGTAGCACCGAGTATCCCGGTACTTTTAGACACCGAACCGGAGTGCGAGTACTCCGCGGGGTACCTTAGACGAGTGGTTAGAGTAGAGGTTGATTTTCGGTAGTCTCGTAGACGCGTTGTAGAGTACAGCACAAGTACGGAATAGAGAGGAGACAGAAATTTTCCGAGGAAGTACTTGGCTGTTACTCTAAGTGCGATTGGATTACCGGAGAACAACTGTAGTTGAAGTAGCACAGACGCAAACATGACGAGTATTGAGATATACACATGAACACTTGAAACTCTTAAATACACACGTATGTATGAATATGTATATACATACATATATATATGTATATATACATACATACATAATACATATATATATATATATATATATATATATATATATATATATATATATATATATGTATATATCATACATATATATACATGCATATTATATATACCATATTTATAAATATATATATGTGAATATATATAAATATATACATGCACCCCCCCACAAACATACACACACACACACACACACACACACACATATATATATATGTGTGTGCGTGTGTGTGCATGTATATATTAATATATATTCACATATATATTATATATATGATTATAATATATGTATATATATATATATATAATATATATATATATATATATATATATATATATATATAATATATATATATATTTATATACACACCCACGCACGCATGTATCTACAATAACTCGCAACGACAAGAGCCAATTTACGTAATTCCTGGAAGAAGTAGCAAACAAATGTAAGATTGAACAATTCATTAGAATCTTGTACCAAAAATAGACAAAACCTACAGAATAAAAAATAAGAAATCTATATGGTGAATTAAGTACCGTATACATGTTATCCAAAAAAAACTCATAATAATAAAACAAGAGCCATTAAACACGTATTTTTTATGACACTGATTTAGTATGCATGTATTTTTGTGTGTCCATGTTTTTTTTCCGAATTGAAGGTTATTTTTTATATCGTGTCTCCATGTGAGGATTTGAAGCATCACAAATGTTTTCGAAAAAAAAGTGAAACTGTATCTGAAGTGATATTGCAAATATAAAAAAAAAGTGACCCATAACAAGAAAATAGAAGTGCAAGGCCATTGAACCCGCGCTGTATCAGAACCGGTTTGTGACTTCTCTCTCGTCGGTTCGTTAAGGTTTCGGAACTGTTCACTGATTCGAAGCTTTGTCATGGTTTCGGATCTGTTCACTGATTCGAAGCTTTGTATGGTTTCGGATCTGTTCACTGATTCGAAGCTTTGTCATGGTTTCGGATCTGTTCACTGATTCGAAACTTTGTCATGGTTTCGGATCTGTTCACTGATTCGAAACTTTGTATGGTTTCGGATCTGTTCACTGATTCGAAACTTTGTATGGTTTCGGATCTGTTCACTGATTCGAAACTTTGTATGGTTCCGGATCTGCTCGCTGATTCACACGGATAATCCGCATGACTTTGGATCCACACACTGATTCATATATATGATTCGAAGCTCCGTCATAGTTTTGAATCTACTCACCGGTTTATGTACTTGATTCGAAGCTGCATATGGTTTCACCTATTTACATGTATCTGCTTCGAAGCTTTGTCATGGTTTCGGATCTGCTCAGTAATTCACGTATAGGATTCGAAGCTCTGAATGGTTTCGAAATTGCTCACCAATTCGCACATATTGATTCGAGGATTCGTCATGTACGAGAAAGGTTTAACGTGAATCATTTGTATGAATCTTGCTTCGATACATGTTCGAATACGCTACGTGGATTCCTTGATATTTCATAATCCAAGACGATTTTACTGTGGTGTTATCTAATTATTTTCTGACTTTATTTTGTTAGAGCATTTGTGATTTTACTAATATTGTGTCCGAGAAATATTCAAGTTCTAAAAGATATTTCTTGGAAGATTATGAACTGAACAAAGAATAAATGAGAAAGAATGACATTCAGTTTTCAGTCTTGAATAAAAGTGCTCGGAAACGCGTTTTGATTATGAAAAATAGATAGAGCGTGCATTTGATTACATGGTAGTACCGTATTAATGTGGTAGAGAAGCAATAGTAAAGACCAGTTTGTGATTTTGATTCCTTGTTGAGAGAGAGAGAGAGAGAGAGAGAGAGAGAGAGAGAGAGAAGAGAGAGAGAGAGAGAGAGAGAGAGAGAGAGAGAGAGAGAGAGAGAGAGAGAGAGAGAGAGAGAGAAAGAGGAGAGAGAAGAGAGAGAGAGAGAGAGAGAGAGAGAGAGAGAGAGAGAGAGAGAGAGAGAGAGAGAGAGAGAGAGAGAGAGAGAGAGAGAGAGAGAGAGGAGAGAGAGAGAGAGAGAGAGAGAGAGAGAGAGAGAATAAATGAATATTTAAACAATGTAAATAAACAATACAGTTACTCATGCATCGAGATTCTAGCATCCCCTAGTAAGCCATAGGTA